ATAAATATTTCATTACAATTCCAATAAATATTTATTTTTTAAATAAAAAATAAAAAAATATTTTTTATACGAGAAGATCCACAGAAATGATATGCATCTAAGATCCACAATAAAAATAGTCGTTATAGTGCTTGTTTTTATGATTTTATGTGGACAACAACCTTCCATGTGTCCCATTACTCCCATTTAATAAGTACTGCTGATGCACAACATACCCTACCACGTGCACTACGCACGGAGTACTTTCTTCCACCGGCTCATCCCTTTCTTGTTCACATAATTGAGTAAGAAAATAAAAATACTTCCTCCGTCCCACTATATTTGTTCACTTTCATTTTTGTACACCATCTAATACACTTCTTTAATCCATTTTATCTTGTAATTTGTATATTAAAAAATTATAGAAATTATATATTAATAATCTATATGTTAAGACAAATCAAACAAGATCACACATGACTATATTTAGGCTTATACATAGAGAGAATTTGATGAGTCAAAGTGCTTAGATGAACAGTTCCAAAAGTCAAATGTGGACAAACAAAGTGGGACGGAGGGAGTAAATAAATAAATAAAAATCAAATAAAAATGAGTAGTGGAGAAGAGAGTAGTGTACATTTGGGAAAGGTGTACCCCTAGCATTGCTCTTATTTTTAAGTTTAGAAAAATACTCTCTCCGTCCCAAAAAGTCTATCATGTTTCAAAAAAATTCCGTCCTTTAAAGTTCGTCCCATTTCTATTAAAAAAAACTTTTATCTCTTACTTTTTCATACCCTACTTATCACATCATACCTTTTTTCTAATAATCTACCCATCACATCCTACTTTTATCCATCACATCAAGGATATTTTTGAAAAGTCAACACCTAAATATCCATTCTTATTTTACCACTTTAATCAAAATGAGATAAATATTTTGGAACGGAGGAAGTAGAAGTTAAATCTACTCATATAGTCATATTCCAAATGCTGTAGGGAGTATTTCAAGTTAAGTATGAGGATGATTCCGATGACATTATCTGGCAATGTTATGGAATGACGGTTCCTACTCCTTCTAACCTCCTAACTCTCACGCGAAATTCTCATGGCACTTAGAGAGCGGTGTGCCGTGTATGCACGTGATCGGCCATGCCACTTGGCACGCCAGGTGGGATCACGACTGCTCTTCTGTGAGGTGCTACGGAGATCCTAACGATCATAGAACGTGGTTGAGTGGTAGAAACATACCAATATATATTTATTATAATTTCTTGTCTCATTACGTCTTAAAATAAATTTAATTATTGGTAAGGAACATAATTAATCAAAACTCAAACTTTTGGTTGTAGGTTAGGAAAGTTTTTTTTTAATATTCTAACACGCTCCTCATGTGCAGGCATAATCCTTTCGAGCCTTGCACGTGAAAACTTAAAATTTTTGAATTGAGTGGCACTGAGTTTTAAACTCGTGACCTCTTAGTCAACAAGACTCTTATATCATGTCAAGAAACTAATTCACTCAGGAAAACCTTTTTCGCTCAACTTTTAACCTTTGACCTATAATTTATAAAATATACTCCCTTCGTCCCTTAAAAAGCTTCCCATTTTGACTTTTTAAGGATTTAAAATAAGTGTATTTTGGTGTTGACTTTCCAAAAATGCCCTTTTATGTGATGGAGAAAGTAGGATGAGATGTGTAGATTAATAGAGAAAAAAATGTGATGTGATATGTAGGTTAAAAATTAGTAGGGGTAAAAGTAACTTTTTAACATGAAAGGAGAAATGTTTTTTGGGACGGACGAAAAAGGAAAGTGAAAGCGTTTTGTGGGACGGAGAGTGTATATGTATTGTATATTAATTAAATACAATAATATTTAGAAAATATTTGATAAAATAAATCTAATTAAACTATTTTTGTATCAAAATCTAATATCATTTTTAATTATTTTGAGCTTAAAGTTTATCAATTTTAACCGAAAAAAGTTAAAAAAGGACAAAAACTCAGGGACGGAGAGAGTAAGAGTTATCCCAAATAGTGTGGTAAGGATAGTCCTAGAATAACCAACAATCCAACATGTAAGATATGAGATGAGGACCCATCATTATTCCATTTAGATGTTAGGGTGGAACTGAGGAAGGCAATACTTGATGAGGCTATATATATGCATGCAAGCAGCAAGCCACAAACGTTGCAAAATAATTCCATAGACTTTAAAATATGATGAAGGACACTCTCATTCTTCTTATTTCTTTCCTTTTCACAGTCAGTGAAGCCTCAACCATTGAAGTTAATAACAATGGTTCACTCACCAACATTGATCCCTCAAAATTGAGTTATAAGTTTGCAGTGTCTTGGCCCCTGGGCTTCTGCAAAATCAATACGTGCTCGCAGAAGCCCGCGGACTTGCCTAGGATTTTCACCATTCACGGTCTTTGGCCCAACTACAATGGCCAATGCACCGATTCGACCGAACAATACGATTTCACCAAACTTTCGTCCATCTATGCAAATCTTAAGAAGTATTGGCCTAATATTAAGAGCAGTATGCGACCAGAGCAATTCTGGGGTAACGAATGGACGAAACACGGCAAGAAATGTAACCTATTCACCGTGAAGGGGTACTTCGACGAGGCTCTCCGCTTGTATGGACAGGTCCAGTCTGGTCTAAACCTTCTCTCCCAATGTAAAAATTTATTTACAATGCACACAAAATACCTAAATTTATTATTATTATTATTATTATTATTATTATTATTATTATTTGAGTAATACAATTATCGCCCGTAGTGATAGCCGATAGGATAATGTAATTAATTTGAGTTATTGGTTTTGACTTCTATCGGTATGTATTGTCAGAACCTTTGAAGACAACGGTCGATTCCATTCGGAGTTTGAGTGCATTTCAAGGAAAGAAACCGTTTGTGCTGTGCAAGGAAGTGAGTGTGGGCAAGCAGAGGATAAACTATTTGGAAGAATTAAGGTTTTGTCTCAATGGGAACAGAGAGTTCATCGACTGTGAACCTCAAGCTTCACAAAACCAGTACTGTTCTAAACAGTTCAAATATAGTGCAACATTGTGGGAGTCCTTGCTGGGCATGGTTGATGATCAAGAAGAGTTCATAGAAGGTGTTGTGGCATAATATATATGATGATATATATTATGAAAATAAATGGTGAAATCCCATTGGGTACGTACCCCTTGTAAAATTTAAAATAAAACTAACAAAATAAGTGTGGGTTGGTGACTCTGCAAGAGCATCTAAATGATAACCCCTATATCAATGGGACTCATAGGAAGCACCAAAAAAAATAAATGCAGAGCATGAATAGAATTGGGTATGTCCTTAAAGAATACCCTTGATCTTGTACACTACTCCCATCCGGAGTATATTCGGAGAATAAACTTTGTTTTGGCTTTGTCTAGCATTATATTTGCTCCCTTTCAAAATCTTTTTCTTATTTTGAGTTCTATAAAATTTAAAGGAAAGACACTCCATATTATTGTGTTAACTAGTATTTTATCCCGAAGTAATGCTAGAGTCACAAACAAACAGTTCACAAAATTCACAAACTTGCCTTTTTAGTACTTTCCTAGAAAATAAGATGCACTCAAATATTAAAAGATATTTTAATTTAAATTCTACATAAGGCAAGTTTGTGAAGTTTGTGACTCTAGCATTTTCTTTTTATCCCGTGCCATGCACGGGTCGGACAAATTTATTTTCAATTGTACAATATCAAATATTAAAAGAACTTGATTTTTCTATGTTATATACGATTTAAATTTTATATACATAAATGATCTAGGTTTATTAAATTTTTACAAATATATAATTCTTCTAGTTAATCAATTAAAACAATAGTCTAGGCCTATTTTATTTTATAGAATATTTATCTACAGATTAATATATACTGGAGTTTTTTATTTTTACATAAATATTTAAAAAAATAAATGAAAAAACTAACTTCATTTAATAATCATATCATAATAAATATAAAATTTATTTGGAGCTTAAGAGAGTATCTTTTTTAATGAAATAAATCTTATTTATTCATTGAAAGTTTATTATAAATGAAAGGTTTATATTCCATATTCAAATTTATTCAATCATGTTGAAATCATAAAGAATGTCAGTGTAAACATAGCATATTATGGTGACACATTTTTTTGATTAATTATATTATATAACTTACTTAAAGTATCATTTGCTAATAGAAAATTAAAAATAATGTATTTTTAAATTTAATTGTAAATCGTCTAAAAATATAAATCACAACTAATCTAGTCATTAAATCAAATTATAAAATTAATAAATTCAAAAAAACATATTACGTATAGTTTTTTTCTACTTTAAAACTATTATAACTCAATCTTGTCTTGTTTTTTTAAATTTCGTTATGTAGTTTTAAAAATATATTGTTTGTTTTTAAATTTATATCAATATTGAAATAAATAGATTAAAAACTAACTTTGTTTTAACTTATCCTAAACAAGTACTCGTATGAAATTTATTTATAGGTGAATATAGTAACATATTTATTAATTTAAAGTTTTTTTTATAAATGAAGAGAGAGAAAATTGTTGAATTATGAAAGAATATTATTAAAAACAAATATCTCTATTTTATAATTAAATTTACTCAAATATTTTATCCTAAAATATTTATTTCATATATTCTAAATTATAAATAGTCTAAAATGTATAAATCATAAATTTTCTAGTCATTAATTCAAATCATAAAATCAATATATTTAAACTACCAAATTGCATACATTATTTTTTTTACTTTAAGACTTATAACCCGACCATCTCTTATTTTTTAAATTTTTTAGTGTAGTTTTAAAAATATAATCTTTGTTTTAACTTTCTGTCATTATTGAAATAAATAGAGTCAAAACGAACTTTATTTTAACATCCTTTATATATTATATTTGGGAGTTTAGCTTCTGAGAAGCTGCCATTTGGCATTTTGTAAGGCATAATTTCGTGACACGTAAACTGACACGTGTTATACGATTTGATCAGAGTAGTATACTCCCCCATAAACTCTTAAGGAAACTTAGAAAAATTAGCCCTGCTTACTTGCGGAAGGAAACGAAATTTACGGCAGATCTTCTGCGATTGAGCTCTACTTCGCCGATTGAGCTCTTGCGAAGCCTTCTCTTGCAAACCTCTACTTTTGCGGTCGATCTAAACAATGAAGTCGTCTCAGAATACAAGAACTAACAGCGTGCGTTTCCTTTCTCATATCGACGCAAGGAATTAGAAGCTAATTTCATGCGATTAAATTATTCTTTCCAAATATCAAGTATTGTTTCCTTTGTTATATATGTTGAACGGCTTCAATTGGTAGGTTTGATTGATCTGTTTTCCTCCCAATTCTTAGGGTTTTTATTTGGTATTTGAATTAATTTTATCGAACAATTCCAGTGCGTCATTTGCTTGGTTGATCCTCGATCCCCGGCTTCAATTGGGTGTATGTTGATCTCGTGTTTCAAGTTTCCGTGTATTTCAAGATTCATTAAAACAATTTGCTGTATTATTTGTTAATATGCATTTGATTTTTTAATTTCTGTATGCATTTAAATAAATTATGTATGCGTTTAAACATTTTGATGTATTATTTCAAGTTCACGTGTAAGATTTCAAAACTTGATGTGCATTTGATTTTTTAATACACGCTGCAAATTTCAGAAATTTACAATCATTTACTAATAATTTTTTTTCTAAATTTTTTTAAAAGGGGAAAACTATCCATGCCTCTGTCTGAAGAAGCGCTTGGTGGGAACTTTTCAGAAAGTGATAAAGGAAGGTTGGACATATGTTTTCACTTATTTTGGTGTAGGCAACAATAGTGGAAATTATCACACATGAAGGCATAAATTTCATTGAAACTTCCAACCCAATGACCACTGTCACTCAATGTAGTTGTGAAAAATTCTATTGTATGGAAGTACATTGGTTGCTTTTCTTGATATATTCCAAGTTGATTCAAAGTATCCATACTTAGTCGGTAGTATTCCTTCCATTCCCCTTATACTGTTGAGCATAGCCTATATATATTGGTCTACTATTATGATTTTTAATTTTGAATTTTATTTTGATACCTCAGGCAGTATGGGTATGCTTGCTTCGGCGGGAAATGAAAAAGGAATAGTGAAAGAGTCCAAACGAAAAAAGGTCATTATCACGTTGAAAACAGGAGGGTATTATAATATTGCCTTACTTTTATAGATCAAAATCACATATAATGCCTCGAATGATTTTTGATGAAGGTTGTTTTAAACTTTGACAAATTAGCATGAAGTTGTATGGTACCTTATTTGGGGAGTATTTGAAGATGTTTAGAAGTTTCGTTGATAAATAGCCGTTTGAACATGCAGTAATTGTGATCCAATATGCTAAGATCAAAATGTTTCAAGGTATTAGTAACTTAATGCACTACTACGTTCTTCATAATTCTTTTGAATGATTCTAATTAACTATATTCATTTATTGGTCATTTAATATTAATCCATTATCATCTCTTATTCATTTAGAAGTACCCCTTGGTTAAATGTAGGAAATATTATTTTACAAAATGGCATGTTTGGGACCCGTCTATTTTTGAATCCAGAAATTGGACGAGACACGGGTTATCGGATTGCGACTGTTTTTTTTTATTAATTTATTTTTACCTTTTGGAATTTCTTTACTACATATGTATGTTCTGTATGAAATAGATGATTCATCCAACGAGGACTTAGTATTATTGTACGGAGTATTTCTTTGTGTTGGCTTATAGTTGGAAGATCAAGTCATTGGAAGTAGGAGGTTGACGAGTTTATAGTTTGACTTCCCTTATCCAGTGTTCTTCAGTGTTTGCAGGAAAACTCTATTGTCAAACAATGTTCGAACTTTGAAGAATTGCAGGTAGACTAACAGTTCGAGGTGTTGAGAGGATGGCAATGTGACTGAGTTCAATTAAAGTTCGAGGTGTTGAGAGGATGGCAATGTAAACTAAAAAGAGTTGAAAGTTGCAAAAAATTGAAAGTAGATGCCATACTTGGTTGGGGAAAATATTTTTTCTGGAATATTATTTTTTTAGGGGAAAATGATTTGCATAAAAATTATCCCCCTGGCCCAATATTTTTTCCTAAAACCCTATTTTTTTTATAAAATCCTATTTTTATAAAATGATTTTCTAAAAACTTTTTGCTTTCATTATTTGTTAAGAATGTTTTTATATTAGTTATTGTTGACATTTCATTTGAATAAAATATAAAAATGCTTTAAAATAATTCAAAATTTTAAGGCTTAATTTTTTATTATAAAGCTTAATTTTGTAGGGTTTGGGGGTAAGGGACAATGGCGGAGTGGTGGGGGAGGGGCAAGATTTTTTTTAGAAACTACTTTTGGGTACTCTCGATTTTATCGTAATAACTCTCAGATTCCACATTATTTGATAAATACTATGGGTTAATCTTGATTGTTTTGTAAGAACTCTTACGTACCACATCATCCGAAATATATTCCGGGATTCTTAAAGTTCGTGATAGAAAATCTTAGGCACCAAACTCTTAGGTACCCACTTTGAGGAAACATTATCGCAATTTAGATATTAGATTAATAGTTCTTTTCCTTTGACAAATTAACATTGAGACATTTTAATCCGTGCCTCGAGTCAAAATGCAATATGGACAAACAAGCCTCACCTAGACACCCACATTGTTCTCCGAACTTCTCATGAAATGAAAGAAAGAAGTCACAACTCTCCGAACTTTCAATTTTATATACTACGTTTGAGAATTTTCATTAACAAATTTTAAATGCTAAAATATATTTATTTTACTTTGTATTAGAGGAAATTATATTGTTAATTATGGCAAAGCAAAATATGTGGAGAAATGTCATTATGGTAACGCATGGCTTGGAAACCGTATGCATGAGTGGCGGCATGAATCCAGGACACTTATTTGGCTACACTTTTATTCATATTAGTTTTCCTTTTTATATACGATTTATGTATGATAGAATTGTAAAGTGATTTGGTTTCCTTACATAGTTTAGGCGTATATATACGTTGTAATGGGTTATTAACAGAGACACAACAGAATATATTTTTCCATATTGGATTGTTTCATGGTATCGGAGCCTCCGGGCCTTGTTTTTTCTGTAATTTTTCCAACGACGTAGAAGACTATGACGAATTCGGGGGAGAAGAAATCCGACGGCGACACCGGCGGAGCTCCTCAACGTCGTACGATCTCGCCATATGATCTTCATGCTAATGATAATCCGGGGTTGAAATGAATAATTGTTCCTGGGCCACAACCACAAGCTTGAGCTTTTGGTTGAGTTGGTTCCTTGACATGGTATCAGAGCCGGGTTGACTAAGAGGTCACGGGTTCGAAACTCAGCGCCACCCAGTTTAAAAAAAATTAAGGTTTCACGTGTAAGGCTCGAAAAAAAAACTACGCCTGCACGTGAGGGGGCGTGTTAGAATATGAATAATTGTTCCTGGGCCACAACCACAAGCTTGAGCTTTTGGTTGAGTTGGTTCCTTGACACATGTCATTCTCAAAGGTGAAAACTATGAAGAGTGGGCACGTGCGATTCGTACGGCTCTTCGTGCTCGGAAGAAATTTGGTTTCGTGGATGGGTCGATTCCGAAGCCTGACGATGCCTCTCCCGATCTAGAGGATTGGTGGACAAACAACTCACTTCTTGTTTCTTGGATTCGTAACACGATTGAGCCGTCCCTCCGCACGACGATCTCGCATATGGAGATGGTAAAAGACTTGTGGGATGACATTAAGGCTCAATTTTCCGTTGTTAATGGCCCGAGAATTCAGCAACTCAAGCGTGAATTGACAACGCGCGATCAACGCGGCCTGACAATTGCTTCCTACTGTGGCCGTCTGAAGAAACTATGGGATGACTTGAACGATGTCGATCTGTTTCCTACTTGTACCTGCGGCAAATGTACATGCAATATCGCTCAACAATTGGAGAAAAAGAAGAATGAAGAGAAAGTACATCAATTCTTGATGGGGCTCGACGAAAGTTTGTATGGTCATCTTCGTTCCACCGTACTTTCACAGGAACCATTTCCTACTACCGGCCGCATATCGCATCATGACACAAGAGGAAACGGCGCGGGCAGCTCAGACTCGCGAACGACTTGAAAACACAGCCTTTGTCGCACGTCACACCACCGTAGATAAGCCACGAGACAAAGCCGTGACCTGTTCCCATTGCCGAAAGCCGGGTCATGAGAAGGACACATGTTACCAGCTTCATGGCTATCCCGAGGGTTGGGGTCGTCACAGCATCGGCGGAAGAGGTCGTGGGCGTGGGCGCGGCATCTCTGTTTCTACCGGCAGAGGCGCTGGAGGACAACAGCCGCACACTGCCCATGTTGCGGCAGTAGGGTCGGCTGGAAGCAGTGGCGGCAGTGATCCATCTAGTAGTGGGGCGGTGGTTCCCTCTCTCACTGCCGAGCAATGGGATACTTTTAAGGCCCTTCTAGCTTCTGTCAAGGATGCTCCCACTGAAAAATTGTCAGGTATTCCTATTACTAAACGATGGATTATAGATACCGGTGCCACAAATCATATGACGGGGGATTTGAAATGTTTGATTGATGTCCATTCTATACCGAATTGTTGGATACGTTTGCCGGATGGGAAGACGGTAACGGCTACGACTGCGGGTCGTGTTAGACTTAATGATTCTGTTGTTCTGCAAAATGTTTTATTTGTTCCTGTTAAATATGTTATGTATATATTTAATACACCCTCCGTCCCATAAAGTGTTACCCATTTTGACTAAAGTTGAAATTAAGGGAGTGATAATTTTGTGTTGACTTTCCAAAAATACCCTTGATGTGATGGGTAAAAGTAGGATGTGATGTGTAGATTATTAGGAAAAAGGTATGATGTGATATGTAGGGTTTGAAAAAGTAAGGGGTAAAAGTGGTTTTTTAATAGAAATGGGTAAGGGATTGTGGGACACAATTTTTTTGAAACGTGTAAATCTTTTTGGGACGGAGGGAGTATTAATTATGTGATTATTGTAATTATGGTAGCTTACATGTATAGGTTTCCTTACGTAATTAGGAATCCTCTGTAACTATTTATACAAGGCTTCTCCCTCATTATTCAAGAATAGAAAATAATAATTCTTCATGGTATCAAAGCCTCTCGTTGCTCTCCGTCTTTCGTTCGACCTAGCGCAGGCAAAACCCTAGCCGCGCCATCGCCATCTCTCTCCCTCGATCGTCCAGCAGCCGCCGCCGTCTCTCCCTCCTCCATCGGCAGTGCCCAGCGGCTGTCTCCCTCCGGCAGTCTCTCTCTCCCCGGCGATCTCCCTCCCCACGGTGAGCAACTCCTCCATCGGTCACCATGTCTGAGAAGCCTTCCGTCACCGACTCAACGTCCTCTTCTCCAACTCCGCACTTGGCGTTCACGACGATCTCGAACGTAAAGCTCCATGTGCCGATTCTCCTAAGCTTCTCCGAGCCCAATTACAAAAAGTGGAGCCGGCTCTTCGTCCTTCTCATTCGCAGGTTCTCTCTAGGTGACTTTCTCACCGGAAAATCGTCCCCCTCCAGCACCGATGACTCGGAATGGTTCCAACTTGACGCCCTCATACAAGGTTGGATCCTCTCCACTGTCAATGATGAAATTTGTGATCTTGTTCTCTCTACAACCAACTCCGCATCCGAGCTTTTGAAAGCCATCTATAACATATTCCACGACAACAAGCCGGCCCGGGCGATGCAACTTGAACACCAATTCCGCACCACCATGAAGGGTTCTCTCTCCATTGCCGCTTATTGTCAAACCCTCCGGAATCTTGCGGATTGGTTGGATGATGTAGATGCCCCCGTCTCCGAACAACAATTGGTTCTTCAAGTCTTGCGTGGTCTCCCGGATGATCTTCAAGGACAAACGTCGTTCCTTCAATACCAAACGCCGCCCCCGACCTTTCTTCAAACCCGTTCGGCCCTCCTCTTAATTGAACAACAACGGGCTGAACTAGGTGTCGGCAGCAACATGGGGGACGGCGGCACGGCGTTATACGCCGGCACTGGAGGTCCACGGCGACAGGGCAGCGCTGGTGGCGGGCGGTCAGAATCCAGCGGCGGAGGAGGCTTCGGGCAGCAACATCAGTTTTCCCGGCATCGTGGCGGTTCCTCTCGGGGTCGTGGTCGCGGTCGCAGCTCTGGATCAAATGCACGGAACACCATCGGGCAGCCCTCTGGACAGTTCACCTACCCAAACCCTAACATGGGCCTTCTAGGCCCGCGGCCAAACCCCTACCCGCCCCCTTCACACCCACAAGCCTATTTTTCAACCCCACACCCGCCCCATAGCCCTACCCCCAACTACCCCAGCCCCTACCCGCAAGCCCCCTCCCC